AACGGCTGTAGTTAGGTTCAACATAATGCGCCTCTGCAATGGAAGAAGCCATTGCACAAGGCGCTAAAATGTAGGATAAGAGTCAGCAGGTGCCATGCATTGGAAGAGGATATGAATCGATGCACAGAATACACAAATCATGTGTGATGATGTTTAAAATATGCTGTTGGGGACTTTGAGGGCCACATCTTTGTCGCTGTCATACAGTGATAACAACGGGACATGATCCATCTGAGCATGGAACCTTTTGACCACTTCGTCCACTGTTTCTTTCATCAGAGAAGTGTCAGGGTGCTGTATGAAACGAGAATAATGTATATATTTTGAACATATTCACTAACATAAACCTAATACAGACACACATGAACATTTTGCTGATCAAACTTACCCGTTGCCACAAGTTTAGCATTGCACGTAAACTAACCTCTGTGATATCAGCTGTAGCTTGTGGCTCCATTAGTTCAATTACGGCACACAAATCCCAAAATTCATTGGCTGATGCCACATCGGATGCTGTGATGCCTTCCTGCAATTATGAAAATCTCGAAATGTTAGGTATATATAGAAGGCTGTGTGACATACCACATTCCTAATCTTTGCATCAGCTCCGTGTTCCATGAGACCAATTACTGTATCCAGATGACCTCCCTTGCAGGCAAACATCAGAGCTGTGTATCCAGTTTCCTGAGTTAGATGATAGGCTTGTCATAATTATTATTGTCAATCAATCTCAGGAACTTTACTGATTGCTGGAGGTCAGGATTAGCCTGATAATCAAGTAGCAGTTTTGCCATCTCTGAATTTCCATCATCACAACACATCATCAAAGCAGAAAATCCTTCCTATGAAGGAAAAAGGCGATGTACCATTGAAGTCGTATATAGAAAATGGTGGCAGAAAACTTGGCAAATGACAGACCTAACAACTACAGTGGAACCTCTGATAAGGGACCCTCCAACATAGGGACGACCTCTTAACAAAGGACACTTGTTTTAACCCAGTGCTAATAGCTACTTCAGTGTTTTATTAGACCTCTGAGATAGGACGACCTCTCTAAAAAGTCAGTTTCCCTCGTTCAGAGGTTCCTTCAGAGGTAAGGTAAGTTCTGAGGTAACTTTATGTGGAGGTGAAGGTTAATCCTACAACTAAACCAACATAAAATTAATACCTTCTCCATTTTGTTAACATCAACTCCTGCCCCTATCAATTCCTCGACCATTGGCACATTGTTCTTTCTTACAGCCAACAGTAGTGGGGTCTGTCCAAACTGTGAGGAATAGTATGAACAAGCTGGCAAAACATAGGGATTGATAGAGGCAATACCTTGTTGCAGCCATTTGGGTAGGCACCAGCTCGGAGAAGGACTGAAGCCGTGGTCAAGTCGTTGTTATAACAGGCCATTATTAGTGCCGAGTCCTGATACTGTAGTAATAAAATCATAGTTCCATCTACCATTCATAACTGTCGGGGTTGGACCGTAGCTAACACCACCAATGGTGTACACATACTTTGGTAATGTTCTCTAGTTTTGCTCCATGCTCCAGCAACTTTCTCCACAACTTTGACATGTCCTTTGTAAGATGCCAAAATCAGCGAACTCCACCCATCCTAGCACATAGAAAAGTAATGTAACTTGTGAATTAACGAGAAACTTTTTTACATGCTTCAAATTCACAATAGAATATTCATTGAATGTGGAGTCTTCCACTTGGTGGTTGGCTTCTGGGCCATGGTATTATTAAATTTGTTGAAAATTTGAGTGAAGACTGTACTGGTGTTAGGCTTACCTCACTCTGCAGGTCTACTGTGGCTCCATGCTGTAATAACTTGTCCACCACCTCCACATGTCCCTCCTGAGATGCCGTCATCAGTGAACTCCATCCATCCTTATGTAATATCATACATTATTATTGGGCATCACTCAAATTTTGTTGCTGCACAGGTTTTCTAACAGATAAGGCTGTTTCAAGAATTTCTACCCTTTTGCACCTTTTTAACTTTTCCTGTTTAGCTCTACAAGGCCAGAAAACTGCACGTTGGGAAACAAACCCAATAATGTGTGTTGTTAATTACTTCCACACATTTCTGTTGCTATAAAAACTGCAATGCATTCATTGTTGTATAATTATATCAGTCTCCAAGTAATTATAATATGGCTGCAAGCTGTTAAGGAGCTAGCAGGTGGTCCTGCGGAAATGGAAGTGAGTAAACAGACCCAGTATAATGCCAAAACTGTGTACATGCTAAAGTAGAGCAGCGGCAAACATTATGTTGAAGTGACACCTCAGTACTAAGGTGTGAAGTAGAACTACCTCTTTTAGCAGGTCTACTGTGGCTCCATGTTGTAATAATTTGTCCACCACCTCCGCATGTCCATTCAGGGAAGCAATTACCAGTGAACTCCATCCATCCTTTATGGTATACGTAATAAAAAGCAGTACAATTATAGGCATGTGCATGATCATTACTTGATGTTGGAGATCTACTGTGGCTCCATGTTGTAATAACTTGTCCACCACCTCCACATTCCCAGTGTCAGATGCTACCATCAGTGAGCTCCAACCCCTCTAGTTCAACAAAGATAAAGTTGATGATCTTCGTTATTAGTTTTTTACTTTAGAGAAAGAGGGGAGACCTGGACAAGTGACAAAGCACTGTGAGCTAGATCTTCCAGACAAAAGCTGGTCTTCACATTTTCCTTATAGGTAGAGCTAGCCAATATAATTATGGTGATTCTGATTCTATTGGTTGCCCACTCTACTAGCAAAGAAAGTCACAACCGACCCAATCACCCTGTCTGACTACTTGTATATTATGTGCTTGCCAACATAGATGTGCTATTGCCACTGACCACACACGTACGCACCTCCATTAGCAAATCTACTGTGGCTCCATGTTGTAATAACTTGTCCACCACCTCCACATGTCCATCCTGAGATGCACCATCAGTGAACTCCACCCATTCTGATAAATCGGTATGAAATGATGTCATGAAAATCAATTAGGTTCATATAATACACACAGATTGTACCTTATCTTGCATGTCTACTGTGGCTCCATGTTGTAATAACCTCTCCACCACCTCCACATGTCCATTATCAGACGCCCATACTAACGAAGTCCACCCTCCCTAAATAAACAAATTATCACCGTGTTTGCTTATGTAACCAACACAAAACATTCAATCACCAAGTAGAAGTATACCACAGAGAAAGGCAGCAAGCAAAAAGATGGTGCAAGCCAATGGAACACACTATTTTGTATAAGTAGAACTCAGACACAATCACAAATTCTCTTACTGGGTACATAAAATCCACTGGAACTCCTATTCTGAGAGCATCATTTAGACCCTCAACGTCTCCATCATAAGCAGCATTAAAAAGACTGACTTCCTGCATTTAAAACATTAGACACACTTATGGTATCGAACTTAGCTTTCCCTTCGAAAACTAGGAACAACATACAGTCAACCTATTAGAGACCCATGCTTCAGCTCCACACACAAACAGCAATGTGTTCACATAATATACTTACACTTAGACGAGGAATTCTAATCTCAAACTTTGTAGCTGCTTTGATCTTTTGAATACCCATAAGAGCCATTTCAGCACAAGCAAAGGAAGACGTAAACACAGGACCAACACTTTCGATGTGCCAGTGAAGAGTGAGAGGATTGGGGGTGTGGCCATCATACACCAGATCACCAGTGGGGATACAGAGTAGGGAGCTGGTGAGGCTGTGTATGGTGTTGTACTGTGCTCTTGTGAGGGTCGAACCCTCCAATTGAGCAGTGACGAGGCGGCTATCTGGAGGAGGAGGAGAGGGCTGGGTACTTGACTCTCCAGAGATCATGACTTCATCTTCCTCTTGTTGGTGGGAGACTGCCTCGCCCTTCAGGAGACTCTGGAACTCTAGGTATAATATAATATAGTAGCCTTCTGCCAATGCCAAAAACAAAGACCTATCTGCAATCTGAACTGGTCGCGATACCCGTAATCTTGTCTCCCTAGTAAAGCTCACTGTGGCAATCTCCATAGTTAACCATAAAAACAACAAAACAAGGGGTATGCTGTTAGGTAATTCAGCTTTTTGGGCATACAGGACAGGTCAAATGGAATCTCCATGTTGTGCATGCAGTCCCCGTGCAAACAATGGACTCTTGCGTACAAGTAAATTACTAGAACAAATTCCACACATTTTTGACAAGCGAGTGCGAGCAGTGAAATATTTTTGTGCACTTTAGAATCACGTAGAACATTACGGTATGTGCAGTGACAATCACATAAGTATCCTGAGTTCAGACAACTAGGTAGGCTCGCTTCACTCGCCAACTATAATAGTTTGCATCTACAACCTAGGGCTCTTATGTTTGTGGACTACAAGCTACACTTGTCTAAAATGTCAGTAACTCACTGCTGAGAATCTTCTGTGCAACATGTGGCTGCTCTGCACCAATCAGCGCTGCACAGAATGTCAAAAGACCCCCAACAGCTCTTTTTCGCATTTTGTCAATAACAGCCAACACTTTTCTCAATTGACTCTTCTCTTCAAATACTTTTGCTGCATCATCTCGAGTAAGGAGCCTTCGCTGTAGCATGTGTGGCACTATTGCTTCTGGTGACATCTCCTCCAACAGGTAGCTGATGTTGGCATCTATAGCTTGAAATTGAAGGCGAATCACTTTGTGCTCATTCTGCATGGCTGTTTGACAAGAGAAAGAAAGTGGAATTTATCTAATGCTACAATGCATGATGAAACAGACTACCGAAAGAGGAGTCGTAGACAATGAAACCCTCAATGGTGAGAGTGGCGACGTGATGCTCCATCATGCTCTGACTGCTGGGCTTGACAGAGTTCTGGATGTAGGCCACCAGAGAACGAGGAACCCGCCATGTCACCTCCACACACCCTCGAGCCACTTTCACGAGGTTGAGGGAGAAGTCATACAAGGACAGCTCCCGGCAGACTTTAATGCGAAACTTCTCCACATCTTCCAGTGTAGCTGTCCTCCAGTCCATTTGGTGCTTGCTAACCATCGTGGTGAACCTTCCGTTGATATCTTCTGGCTCATCAGCGCAAACCTCTGAAAATATCTCAAGCCTTGTTTCCTTCCGAAACCCGTTCGTCTTCTCGGCATAGTTTGCCATTTTACTTTTCAAGTCCTGACTTCCATAGAGATCAACGACATACTTCAACAGAGTGTAGTGGAGATAGTCATAATGTTCGCCAATAACATCAATTATATCCTCAGCTGATTCAGCTTGTTTTATTTCGGCTTTCACTTTAGTAACAACTTCTATGCTCCTTTTTGGATTAGACGGAAGACA